CGCATGCACTCAGTTAGTGGGCATGTAGAGGCTGCTTGCTGGCTAATGGCCTTGGAAATCCCTACAATGAGTACAAAATTTAAGTTGAATTGTGGCCCCTAACCTGCAGCTCTTTTCAGGGAAAGGCAACATGGGGTCCCATATCTCTTGGGACACCTTTACAAAGATACCTCGTCTGTCTCTCTGTGCACACAACAAAGCTCTTCCAGTATCCAAGAGTCCAGCTGCACTTGTTTCTGGCTGGTGTATCCTCACCAGTAATTACAGTTTTACAGGGCAGCTCCTAGCATTGGAGATCCTCATGCAACCCTACAGATGTCACCTCCTGCCCTGAGCAACACCGTGAAGTGGCTGAGAGCGGAGCCAGCCCTCCAGCTGGAATTCAGCTTATTTCCATTATCGATGTCTGAGGCAGAACAGAGTCTCACCAGCTCCCCCACCCCATCTCTGCCCAGCTCATAGGATCAATGGGCAGTGAAAGCCTGTGTCAGTCGCTGCAGTCAGCAGAAGGGACCCAACACAACCCACATGCACCCACATATGTGAGGAGCTGTGGGACAAGGGGAGGGGCTGGCAGGCAGCACTGCCAAGTGGAATCTCATTTTCCCTATCTGCCACAGCCCTGGGGAAATGACAGCTGCCCATCTCTGCTAGTATTGTGGGAATCAGAGCTGTGAATGGCTGGGAGGTACTAGCACAGCTCGACACATCATGCATCACCACTAAGATGCCCAATCTTGGCCAGATCTGTCAAGAATGCAAGAGTATGACAAGAAATTGTCCTTTTTCTTACAGAGACAACCCCGGGAGGTACAGCTACCCCAGACTGCATGATGGATAAGACAACCAGACACACAGGAACTAGGAAGCCTGGGTTCTGGTTACACCAAGTTAGGTTTTCCTGCCTTGCTCAGATGAGTTGAGTTTGGTGGGAGCAGGATCAGGCCCTCTGAATTCAGTACAGCCACTTAAATGACTGAGGTGCACAGGAGTTGGCCTGGCATAAATAAAGTCACTCCCTTGCACATGCTCTCCCTTTTATGAGAATAATCCTGCGGCCAGTGACTGGGCTCTGGATGAGTAATTGTGCAACTTGCTGGCTCCTTCCTGGAGGGCCAGGCTCCCAGAGATGATAAAGGGTGAGTGGGGGAAGAAAAATTAATTGTTCGTTGCCGGAAGCTCGACCTATTCAATGCAGAGCAGCCGCTCGTTGGCCTTGAGCAGCAGCAGCAACAGGAGCCAGAGTGGAAATGACACAGTGAGAAGGAAGTGAAAAATACTGCCAAGGGCACCTCAGCCTCACTGACGCTCACTGTCAGATCTGTCTGGTGCCATGTGGGAGGTGGACAGGGGTGGGCCAACCCGGTAGCACCTCAGGGGATCCCTGGTCTGTGCCACCCCCCACCAACAATGATAATAGGGAACTTGGGAGACAAAAGCAACAGAGGTGAAGGAAGGTTTTCCACTAAGGGAAGAGGAAGTCTGCCTATGCTATGCAGGGAACAGAACTGCAAGCGATATTAGTGCATACAAAGTCTCCAGAGAGCCAGGCTGATCCAGGGGCACATGGGCATGTTTAAAAAGCATCTCCCAGGTGCGAAGACGACTGGGAGGGGCCCAAGTCACAAAAGAGGCTGGCTGCCAGGCAAGTGTGTGAGGCTAGGGTTAGATACTGCTGCTGTGAAGGGTGGCAGCGCTTTAGGGAACTCAAGTCTTCTCCCACGTCCTAAAGACTGGGAAGGGTTTTGGGGAAGGTGCCCTCTGCTGTGGGAGGGAGCATCACTAGCCCAGCCAGGACTGCCCAACCATACAGAGGGAAAGGGAGACTTTTCCCCTATTCCCTTACAAGCAAATTGATTCACAGAGGGAGGAAAGTTCTAGCCATCCTCATTGTCCTTTGCTCCCTGGGAGACCTGAAGTGCCATGAGTTCTGTCACCTGTCAGCTCCCTCATTAAAGGTGTTTGCTTGGGAAGAGGTTTCCTGAGATGGCTCTGACAAGTGCTTTCTCCAAAGAGAAACTCATTTGAACAATCTCCATAAAGAAGTCCAGTCACTTCTTTCCTATTACCAGACATGAGGTAGAGAGAAAGGGTGCACAGAGCTGTTAACAAGGGCTGGGGGTCAGGGCGGCAACAAGCACTTGTCTCAAGTGAGGCTCTGGATTGTGCTAGGGAAGGCTCATCATCTCCAGCACTCCCAGTTAATTGCTGGGGAGGGGAAGTCAAATGGGAAATACTCACTTTCGTTTGCTGCTAATTTCCCCCTTAATTCACAAGGCACTTCCACCTCCCAGAGTGAGGCACTATTCTCCCCAGCTAATTCTGATCCAGGGGTGCTCAACCCCAGCCTGTAGAGCCATGGCATCTGGGCCTGGACACCACCCATCCAGCCTTCATGGCAAAAATGTTGACCACTAGTGCTCTGAGCTGTTCATGCCCATCAGACAGAATTATGAGCTGGGGGCTGATCCCTGGAGTGGGGAAGAGATGGCCAAAGACAGCACCCAAAATCCAGTGCAAGGTTATTTTTAAGCTGATCAGCACAACTTGGCAGTGAGAGGATGTGTGTGTTGTGGGAAGGGGGTGAGGTTACGGCCCTTTCAGCCCCATGGGGATACTCATGGTTTAAAAGCATGAGCAAATCTCTCCCTTAGGTATTTACTGAGTGCCCTTTCCTTGCAGAGTAGTCAGCAAAGCAGAATTTAGGAAACCATCATCTGCACATGCAGCAGTGCACATCCTGGCAGCAGAGCAGAACCTCCAGCTCCAGCTGTTGCCACAGCTCAGCTCTGTCTCTTCTCTGGGCTCCATGCACCACTGCATGTAGGTGCCTAGCCACGGCAGAACGGGAGGCAGTGCATCACCCACCCATTCCCCAAAGCACTCATGGAGACTACCCCCCTGCACCCACATCTCGGCCAAGCCACTGCTCCTGACAGGCAGCTGTTTGGTGCCTCCATGTGGACAGGTTCTGGTGAGGAAAGCGTTAGCGGTGCCAGAATCAAGCTGCGCAGGGAAAAGGATGGAGTGGCAAGCGGCAGGTTCTAACAGAGCAGTCCTAACACACGGCTTTTTAAGAGAGCCCTTTTCTTCCAATTTAGCAGAGGGTGACAGGAAGCCCAGAGCTCTGCTGAATGCAGACACCCCTGTGGGCCGAGAAGTCCTCATTACTCACCAGGCTCATAGCAGCATGCCAGGCAGCTCGCAGCACTGGGATAACAAGAGCAGCAGCCACCTGTGGCGCAATCAGAAGGGAAATTCATCCTCCTGCTTCAGGGCACCAGCTGACTGCCAGAGGGTGTCAGGAAGGAAATTCCCTTCACCCCAGCCAACGTAACCTTGGACAAACAGCCATACGGACGCGGGGCTAGCAGCATGCACTGGGCTGGTGGTTGGCATAGCCGGGCCTCAGGTCCAATTCTGAGGTAAAACCAGGTATCAGTCCTGCTGGGAAGGTGTGCAGCACAGCATGAGCAAAACCCCAGTTCCACTAACATCAAGAGCAGTTTGGATATAGTCTTCAACAGAGCCAGGGTTTCACATCATGCTGTTCTATAGAACCTGCCACCCCGTCACTGTGACCACCTCAGCCCTGGCAAGGCTGAATACTCCCCACCCCTGGGAATGGCATGAGCCCTGGCCTAAATGCTAAGCAGCAATTCATACTGTTGGGTACCCAGCCTGAGACCCATTAAAGGGACCTAGTTTGGAGAGAGATCAAGTCCTCATTGTGCAAATCTGGCTGCTTTAAAGGCATCTCAGACAGGGTGCCCAAAAATCGCACTGCTTTTGAAACACTGGCTTTTTGCAGGAGGACCAATCCAGCATCAGCAGCAGACTAGAACAGTCTGACAAACCTATTGCTCACCAGCTTCTACAAACCTCCCCGGTCCATTTGCAGACATGGCTGCAGTAAGACAAATATGGGGTGATTCCTATCTGTGCCGGTGCTCACCAGAAGTGCTGTTTCTACAGATCGATTGAAATTTGGGCAAAATGTATACAAGTCTCCAACTCCAGGAAGCGATTGCTGTCGAGTTACTCGGGGGACCTTGAGAATGCAGAGCCTGAAGGGTTAAGGTTCCCTCTGACTTAACAGAGGATTTGAAGCCACCTTGATAGGCTGAGACAGGGAGAGAGGAAAGGAAGCACGTGTGAGCTGGTTTATAATGAACCTACTTTTCCCAAGGCCTTGCTCTTAAATAGCTCATGCAGTGACTGAGCATCAGGACAAGTAAAGGCACTACTGAGGGCTGGAAAAGCAGGGAAACCACCCTCTTGTTTGGACCCAAAGAATCCCCACAAGGACGGCAGTGCATATACGAGTTCCTCAGTTTGGCGGACACAAATTGCATGCAGGATTGATCTGAAATGCAAATCTTCTGGATCTCCTGGCAAACCAGACGGGAAGAAAAGGAGGGAGAAGGGGGAACTGTTTAGTTTTCAAGGGGTTTTTAATGCCCCGCCCCCACCCCCAACTGCCCTGTTTTGGGGGTTTTTTTAATTAAACGTTGGCAATTTTTTTAATGAAAGTGTCAATGTTGAAAGGAAAATTCACAGCTCTCCATTTGGGAAATATCAAAACAAAATGTTTCAACTTCTTCTGAAGGTCTTTTTTTTTTTGCTTTGGGGTTTGAGTTTTCTATTGTTTTCAGGGCAGAGTAGTTGCCATATTCAATCTGAACACACAAAACGGTTTCAATCCCCATCACAGCATTCTCCAACATGTAAGGAATTTGCCAAAAACCCACAGCAGTTCCACTGTCATCACCGCCCCACCAACACAGGGCCCAAGTGCAAGGACCCCTTTCTCAGATGGAAGCACAACCAAGTAGGACAGGGAGGACAGCTTGTGAAAGGGCCCTTCTCCCTCTTGCAGTTCACTGGTATTCTCCCCTCCAAAATAACAGATAGTCCGAACAGAGTCCCACGCCACAGACCCCAGCACAGACCAGAGAGGCAGATGGAGGGGTAAGGGAGCCAGCTTTGCAGAAGCTTACCTCAGACATGTTCACACGTCCTTCCTGGAAGGAGCACTCCGCAGCATTGTGGGTGCAGATGTGACGGTATTTACACCAGTGGCATGGGAACGAGCCATTCACGCAGGAGAGGCAGCTGCAGGAAAAGGGAGCAGATGATCAAGTATTAAGACCTGATGAGGCAGTGACCCCCTACAGTGCCCAAGCGCATCGCAGACTGTACATAGGGATCAGACATCCACCACTGAAACGTAGTTGCTCGCAGGGTGGAAGACAACAGAATAATTCAGGCTGTGACATGAAAAGGTGTATGCATCCCACTGAAATCACAGAGGGCGATGGAGAGGGAGAATGGAACTACTCGTGGTCAGATGTGAGCAGCATCTTAGTCAAATGCTTCTCGCATCCCGATTTTCTCATCAATACAAGAGGATTTTAAATCATGCAGTGAGGTCAATCTCTCCTTCGCATCTCAGCCACATGATTGTGCCTGGTGGAGCACAGCGTACACAGCAACACCCAGCACTCAGTGTGGGGACAGTGGCTCCTATGGACTCACCCCATCCACTCAGAATCATAGACAAGCACTGGAAGGGACCTCAGAAGGTCATCTAGTCCTCGTAGAAGGCAGGATCACTCTTGACTAAGCCACCCCAATCAAGTGTCTGTCTAACCCAGGACTGCTCAACTTTCCAGTTCTGCAGGCCGGATAAGCAGTGCAGGGCCAAATCCTGCACGCAGGGTTAGCACGCAGGTGCAACCTGGTTCACGGGCCTGGCCCCGGTGCTGCGGCTGGCCATGCAGGAACCCATACACTGAACTGGCTGCAACCCCATGTGGTACATGGGGCCAAGTCATTTGGACTGGGGGATGGCCCACTGGTCCAGAAATTTTGTAAGGGGTAAAGAGAAGCAGTGTGAATTGGCTCCCTGAGCCACAGATATTAACACTGTCACCTCTCCACCACCAAATTTCCGGATCTGTTGGAAGCCCCACACGCTGGACGACACAGCTCTACAGGCTAGGTGCAGCCCATGACTATGGGTCAAGTATCTCTGGTCTAACCAGCTCTTAAAAGGACCCGAGGATGGAGACTTTACAGCCTCTCAGGGAAGCCTGTTCTGCTGCGTAACCACCCTCAGACTGAGAAAGTTCTTCCTAATATCCAACCTACATTTCTCTTGCTGCAATTTGAGACCATTGTTCCTAGCTCTGTCCCCTGTGGCCACAGAAAATAGTTTATCTCCATCCTCCATATAAACACCCTTCAGGTATTTGAAGACTGTTATCAAATCCACCCCTCTCCCTCAATTTTCCCTTCTCCATACTACATCACAGCTTCTGTGCTGAATCGCCCACTCTGCAGCCTGCATAAACAGCCTTTACAAAGCTTGCGGCATCTCTCCCTCTCATCCCCTGGCCCTAGCCACGCACTCCTCCTCCGCTCCCCGTCATGACGCCTGCCACGTGGTAACAAGCAGGGGACCTGTGACCCCTCTCCCTAACTTGACAGGCCTGGGCACTTCCCTTCCCGCCTGCCTGCCTGTGAGGGGGCTGAATCGCAGACTTTGTCAGCTTTATTTTTGGTTTTATGAAAGGCAATTTTAGCAAACAGAGTCAGAACAAGGACCCTCCAATTGCAGGGAGGGAAAAAAAAACCCACTGCATTAATGCATGCTCATTCAGAGCTAAATTATAACTGGCCAAAGGTTGGGTCAGATTAACATTTTGAGACTGTAGTGCCTTTCACTCCCTCACAATGCCGCGTGTGTGACCCCTCTGTCTGCTCCCCTCGCATCCTCAGCCTGCAGCCGGGCTGTGCGCGTGCTGGCTTCCCCCTTCCCCGGCTGTGTGCAAGCCTGACTCGCAGTCCCTCGCTCCCTCCTGGTTCTCTTCCTCTCTCTTCTGCATCTCCCCAGGGCCTATGTTTAACCATTGTCTGGCTCTGCAAGCCGCACTCCTGCACTTTGAAGTCCCTGCGTCAGAGCCGCCCCACAAAGGAGCAGCTTTGGTAGGAAACAAACATGGCAGGCAAGAAGCCTTTCTTGCGCTCAGAGAAAGCACAAGGGCAGCCTTTCCAAAGGACCCTCCTTAGGGCTGGATGAGAAAAAGAGATACCGAGTCAGCTCAGCCCATCAGGCAAGCCCTGATGAAACCAAGCACAGCTACCCAGCAGGAAGCCCCAGAAAAGCCCAAGGGCCTCCTTCCACCCAACCGTGATAGCACTGGGACTGCCCTGGTCTGCACCAACTCCAAGATGGGCAGAGGGAGCCACAGCAGAAACACCAGCCAGACCAGCATAGAGAGAAGAGAAAACAGATGCACTCGCACTGGACCCCGCTGCCCCAGTCTCCACCAGTGTCATCTTAGCCACCAATCCTGCCCACCTGCTTGTCAGTCTGGCCTGAGGCTGTCCTGGCGAAACTCCCTCAGCGCAAGCAAAAACAACCGAAGGGCTTATTCACCTGGGAATGATCCTAGTACCCTAAACGGTACATCAGTCCTAGTCTAAAATCATGTAGTCTAGGAACAATTGTGACAAGCTGGCCAGCTTTTGAAGGTACCAAACCCTGTCCACATTAGGCACCAATGCATTTGTAACAGCACTGAGTTACAACTTGCTAGCTAACAGGGTCCTCAGAAGCACACTTTCCCTTAGTTGAGGCAAAGCCACTACAGTGCTGATACACATGAACAAGCTTGATCTCTCCCGTGGTTTTCCTCACTCTTGATCTGAAGTGCTATGGCCCCAATTCATGTCCAGAGCTGGCACACCCAGAGAACTGCTAGCAGGGATAGCAGTGTCCCATCACAAGAGGCCTGGTTCTTCTACAGCACGGGGCACAACATATGGCCCAAGAGACACATGCAGCCAGCCTGTGCAATCCCAGTGGCCCACCAGAATCCTTCATCACATCAATGAGCTGCATGTAAAAGCACTTAGAAAGCAAAAGAACGTGCCCCGTGTCCTCTCTGCACAGTCCTCTCTGTCTTCATTAACCAGTGTGTAGAGCTGAGCCAGCTTCCTGCTTACAAAGGCACTGGGGGGGTCTCACATCCATTCAGGCAAGTCCCACTACAGCAGCCCCCCTCTGGAAAGTGTCCCTTGCCAGAGGCAAGAAAGTGGGCACTGTGCACCTCTGCTCTACACTGACAGAAGTCCAGCACTGGAGGATCAATGTGGTTATTAAACAGGAGAAATCTCAATAAATAAGTGGGGTCTCTACACAGCCAAAATGTCCCTGAAATTACCCTTCCTTTCCAGGTCACAGCACCATGGACCTCAGTTGCTCCATTAACTAGGGGCCCATCTCCTCTGCAGTCAGGGATACAGTCAGGGTCCAGCCACTTTGTGGGACGACAGAGTTCAGTAGTGATGCCACAAAACTGACTCTTCATACATGTCCGTGAGGCTGTCTACAAGACCCTCACCTCAGTCACAAGCCAGGTTCACAAGATGAAAGACTGTCACAAAACCAAACCTGTCCTGGCAGCTGGAAAACAAGGACAGGCACTGGGGCATAAATGAAGTGGGGGACATAGCTGTCTGGATTAAAAACACAAGGGAAAAAAAAAAGACAAAAGATCTTAGCTCCAGAAATGACTATCCCAATAAAGGCTCAATCCTGTTCCTACTGACTTCAAGGAGAGCAGAATTACCCCCAAAGCATGGCAACCTGCTTAGAAATACCAGGCCTGATTCCAGCCTTGGCATAAAGGAACATCCTTCCACTGGCGTAAGTGGAAAGGCTGCCCTCGAACCCCAGTGCTGAGCGAGTCACGCTTCCAGCAAGCCAGACACGACAGCAAACCCTGTGGGATCTTCTCAGGGAGGGCGGTTTTAGGGAGAGCTCAGTCTGCAATGAGAAGAAATAGAAAGAAGAGCTCCTAAGAAAGAGACAGTCTCCAATGCAGGGATCTATCGTGCTGAACTCCTTTCCCTCCTAAAGAATTGTCACTTCAGAGGTGCTAGGATAGCACACGGAGGCCAAGTGTGATACGGATGCCAGGGCAGACAATCAAGGTACAGATAAGCCCCAGTATCAACCCTTCACTTGGGGCTTTGCAGGGACAAAACTCCTCGCCCTGGAGCTTCACACGCCATTACGTATACAGTGAGAGCTGTTTAAATCCATGCGTATGCACTAAGGAAATATTTAATTAAGCTGCTTGCAAGGGGCTGGAAGTCATTTCCATGTTTCGCTCACATTTTCACTTCCAAATGAACAGCCCTTTTAGCTTTACCCACAAATATGTTAATTGAGATGCTCCTTATGCAAATATATGCAATTTTATTTCAACTGCAGATATTCAACTTAAAAGCACAGCCGTGGTCTCCTATCTCCAGTAGCTTTGATGGAGGGAGGTGCAGAGAGGGGGAAAAAAACCCAACCAAATAAACAACAAAGCAAAAGGATTGTTTCTATTCTCCATCCCTCCACTGAGGGCTCAAGCCAGGACTGGGAAGCAAACAATTCAACTACCAAAGTGGTGGACACCGGCCAAAAACCAGCAAATAGAAAAACAGCAACCGTGGAAAGGACAGCTCAGATAAGTGCCTAGGTACCAGCGTCTGATGGGGTGAACATGCACGGCGGGGCAGATTGTTTTGGGTCACAGAGATCAGCATAACTTAAGAGACTAGAATGAAACTGAGCTAAAGCAAATACAGCCTGAACAGCAGGAAATAATTCCTACTGATCTCTCAGGATATGGAGCAGACTCTCCAGCCCACATCAACTGGGGCACTTGAACCAAGACTCAATAAAGCTGAGGAGAACATGCAGTAGAGGGCAGTCCCAGATGGGACCAAAGAGGCCTCCTTCCCCTGGGAGATCCAACAGGCAACCTTCAATCCAGACCTTCCCCATGTTACTGTCCAACCTAACCAGTCTTTGATTTGTACCTCTTTGCAACTGTGGACCAATATCCCCAGCCTATTCTACTGTTCCCCTGTATTGAGTGCGACCAGTCCCACAGCATGGGCTTGATCCTAAAGAGGTACTGAGTAGCATCAGCTCCTGGTTGGTACCTTGTAGGAAGTCCAGCTTAGCATGATGTTATATTGCACCTAAATATCTCCTATTAGCCTAAGTGGGCTAACTCTGCAGCAGCCCCAAGGCTGTAAGTTTGGCC